TTTGTCACAATTTAATATAGTTTACAAATTGCAAGTTCTGGCGCGTTTAATTTTGTAGTGCGATCGCGATAACCAAAATACTAAACGTATGTGGAAATATTTGAGTGTGCTTGATGCTGTAGGTATCTGAAAAATTAGGTTTGAGAAGCCACTCTTCATCTACTGAGCGACAAATATGCCTCTAACGAAAAACGTTTGCATAAACGACGACGCCGTTAGATATTTTAATGATCGTGGCATTCAGTTTTACCCTGGCTGCGTGTAACAATAGCGATATTCTGTCTGTCTCGATCTCATAGCTTTACGTTACCTTTTCATGGACTTTTCCAAGCAGTGTTTGCAGAAGCGGTGACCACATTTCGTCTGCACCGGTTCGCGCATAACACATTCACATATCGGACAGCAATATTCCGGTGGAACGTCTGAAATGAACGCGTATTCAAAACCAGACATTGCTACCCGTGACGAGGTAAATGATCGTGAGTTCCTCCTTTGATGTTTTTTTTTTTTGTTGTTGTTTTTTTTTTTTTTTAAATTTTTTTTTGTTCTTCCCTTTTGTTTGTTTTCTTCTGTTTTGTTTTTGCATTCGTTACCAACAAGTCACGCTTGGTCACTAGACCTCAAATGTTCACGACTCAGGAGTCCCAGGGTTAGCTCTCATAATGCATAAATTATCTCAATGGTTTTATCATTTTAACCCGAAGTCTCTCAGCTTACATTTACAACTTAACATGGCATTTCTTCTGGCAGGTCCCGGACAGGGATGGGTATTCTTAGCCTGCGAAAATAGCCGTCCTTCTGGACGGCTGTTTACGCAGGCTAAACTTAGTATTCTCGTCGGACTTTGTGAACAAACAAACCGGCTAATTTGTAGTCCAAGCCAGGCATGGCATTTTAAAATGTATCTGCAACAACAAGACATAAATTACTGTTTCTAGGATTTATAAATCATACGGTCTGAACAAACTCTCCAAGTGAGTGGGAAAGCTTTCTGCGATCTCTGTCATCTCCATCCACGAGAGAAAGATCACTTCGTGACAGCGTGACCCAACACTCTTGTGACATGTACGGCATCGAAGAGAAAACAGTAGAAATTGAAAACGCGCTTTTTCGACATTTTTGGGTTTACTTCGACACATCCCCGATTAAAATCTTCTACAGCAAGTGATAAATGAATAGCTAAGGTATTCATGTTCCACAGGTGAGAGTTTTGAGGGCCCTGCTTTCGTAAGAAACCGTAGAAACCGTACCATGCAAATCAGATTGCACGTGTGGTATATCAGTTACTCATTTGACGGGGTGGTAGATTTTGGGCATTTTTCAGAGAAAAAAAAGAATTGTAAATAGTGGCAAGAGTCCGAATTAAATTGTATGAACGCTTCATCATCAGAAATAAAGTACTACACTTCAAATCTTAAATCAGAAAGGATAAACAGGTCACGCGAGAACTTATTATTCGTATACTTTGATTGGATGACAACTGACAGCCAGTTGTAGCAAATGAAGCCTTTGATCACGCAAGCTAGAAACGCTTTCGGTCTCCGCTGTATTTACGAAAGAATGCAAAAAAAATGGCGACGGGCGGAAATGTACCCGAGCTAGGCGGGTATGATTACGAGTTTATACGTAAAGTTCCCGAGGATTGGGAATGTCTTGTGTGTCATTTAACAATGAAAGATCCTGTGCAGATTATGGGATGTGGACATAGACTCTGTAGCATCTGTATGGAATCCCTGTTGAGGTGAGCGATATCTATTATGCTTGAACATAAATACTAACCAGTGATCATGATATTGATGCTATGCCCTTGAAACGTTCACAAACACATCGCTACAGAACAGATGCAGTCGAGTGAATTTATATTGACCGCACGCGTGTGTTGTGTAAGCATAAATCATACATGCACAGTGTATTAATTAGAATAAGAATAGCTAAGAATGAAAGCATGTTTCAGGTTTGATTGTCGACGATCAACAGGTCGAAAAGGTATTTATTTGCCGGTTTTACTCCAGTTTAGTACAGATCTTACATGACGTTTGATGCTACAAGGCTTTTCTTGATTTGTAAAACCGGGAATCCTCCAGCCATATGTATTCTATGAAAGATGACGGGCGGATATTTCATTTTATTTTCTAATGTAAATTTTTCTTTGTTCAGGCGCACATCACCGACATGTCCAGCAGACAGACAACGTTTGTCACGTGAGAAGGTATTTCATTCACATTGCTTAAGTCACGCGGTCACGCAATCACTTATTACTTTGTACTGCAATTTTTTACGGCAAAAAGACCAGAATATATGTTGTTAAACAGGCTACGCTAAGGGTAAAATGTAGAGAGATCTGACTAAAAGCGAAATGGTTGCACTGTCTGGGTTTTACGGGAGCCTAACGAAGTGAAACGGGCTCACTCCTCTCTTCGGGTTGTAATCGCCCCCAGAACACAGGCAAGCCTGGAGAAAAGGGAGCAAGTGACAAAGAAACACATGTTCATTTATATTGAAACAAATTTCCCCTCTTATGCATTTCTCCCGTGAGGGGAGGGGGTGGGAAGGGGAGCAAAGCTGTGCACTACCTTACATATTAGCAATATAGGTATATGCAGCACTTGATCAATTCACGTCTTCAATGCTTCAATTTCTCGCATTCCGAGCGAGTGTACTTGTTTCCCTAACTTTTTTTAGTTCAATTCACAATTTAACAATGGAGATACCCACCATATTTTCATAATGGCAGATATTTCCAGATGCCGCTTGTCATCGCATAATTCTGGATCTTACCGTGAAATGTCCTTATTTTGGATGTTCATGGACCGGAGAACTGCGGTCCGTGAAGGTATGTAATATCTGAGTTTTTTTCGAAAT